AAGCTGTAGAGCTAGTGGAACCACCTCAGAATAGACGGTCAGTGATAAAATGCAGAAAACGAGCCTTAGGCACGAAAACTACCTAATCGATGCAAGGCTTACAGCCTTGTCGCCTTAGGCACTAATCGGGAAGTCAAGAGTCACCTAAGTACGAGCACATAATTCGTAATCGTGAGGGGAAAGAGGGCAGATCGCAGCAGGCTGACCTCTGAGGCCGGAGCTTCAGGAGTCTAAAGTTTTGGAGAATTTGGAGAGTTTGAGCCTCTTTCGACGGTCCCTGGTTGGTCATGGAGTCATGCACATCACAAGACCGATCAGACCAAGGCTAATCAGAAGGATCACTTCTTGAGAATCCATTCCCCTACAAGTAATTGGGATTCATAGAGTTTCTACGTCGGTTCGGTGCAGATGAGCAACTTCAGCCTCCTCTTTTTGCCTTCGTTAGCCGACCAATCATACACAGCGTTTCTGCAGAGAGCCTCAAATGGCCCGAACGTGGAGGTTGTTTGGTTGGATGGTGCGGCTGGCCCGGAAGAGGCTCGTGGTCCTTAGAACCCGGTGCTAGGTGCAACTGTGAAATAGAGCTGCCTAGGTCCAGGCGTCAACTCCTTGAGGATCAGATCACGGGAATGAGATAAAACACCGCCATTTTGTCAAGTCAGTGTATCTGAGGATGTTGATAAAATGATGAATCCCACACTCTACTTGGATAAAACAAGGTCTCGGGCAATCCCTGTTTACAAGGAATATAGTATACTCCGTAGTTAATGCCACTACTGTCCGTGCTGGACGGTTGCATTGTTTTCCTCAAAATAATATCAGGCGGTATTATGATGATGACTGATGGCCATACTTTGCTGTCAATCATTAGTATTATTACCTAGACAGCTAGACTAAGGTACCTACTGGGGCTCATAGATGACTGGACAGTGGACAAGCGCTACCTTGCTCCCTCCCTCCCTCCTAAAATTCATGTAAATTGAAATCCATACCTGCGCCATAAAGGAATAGTCGTACTGTATTCCGTCCTCTGCCTCAAACCCCACTTTGCTTTGCCTGTCTGTGGCGCGTCTGGAGACAGTAAACCCAGCACTCTGTGAGCGTCAGGACGTCGACCCTTTTTCTCTTCTTTTTCCCTTCTCAAGGATGATCTTCTCTCCTATCTCATCGCATCTCATCCTTTGCCTTCTCCCTCGAATGATCGAAAATCTGACAACATTTTACTAAAATTGGAGAGAGTGAAAATTGGGCGAATTCCACCCAAGCATTCGTGGATCGAAGTGCTTGCGATAATCTAGAACAGCAAACTTCCTGCAATTCTTCGTCTTTATCCCCATCATAATAATTGTCGCGGTTATCATCCTCATCCTCATCAATCTCCTCCTCCTCATCATCTATCTATCGGTGTCTGTGGAACTATTAACTGTCCATGGATTTACCTTTGACCGCTTAAACCTTCTCTCCTCCTCTCTGATCCTCTCTCTGCTCATTTTCTCCTCCATTATTCCTCACTCTAAACCCTTTTCAACCGTTTCGCCAAGCCAGCGTCACCTCTTCCCGCTCGAGCTAACTAGCTCAAAGGCAGTAGCCTCATCGTCTGGAAGGCCCATACATATTATTGATCATTATTTATTATCATCAGTATTTCTGATTGATCTTCCTTCTTCTGGCCACGCACGACTTGGCTACTGCTGTCATTGTTGTTATAATTGGCACTCTTATTACCCTTTCCCGACCCGCATTCTGCTTCTACTTTGCTTTGCTCCCTGCGAAGTTCCTCGACTACTGCTACCACACCTGTTCTTCTTATTGCGACGAAAACCCGCTACTGCAGCGTCGTCACCACCAGCACATGCCCACAACTCCACGGCCGTTATAATAACACTCCCAACTATTACTCCCATTGGCGACTCCGCTTTTCTACGATTCTGGACTTTTTTGCGCCCTGTGAGATTCTTTGTTTGTCTCCTCCTTCCCAACATAACAGCTCTGTCATCATCCTCCTGCGCGTTTCATTCGTCCACATCTTCGGTATTTTTGTTCTGGCACTCCCAGCCAGCCGATGCGCCTGGTATATCAATTCGATCTGCGCCATTGACCGTGCGATTCGGCCTTCTTCTGAGCCTCACTGCAGGTGACCGGCTCCTGCAACCATCATCGGTCCCATCTGGAATCACCGATAGGCTTCAAGCCACGAGGTCTTCCCAATTCCTGAAGGTGAGCCTACCTTCAGTTTTTCCCGCATTCTACCCTTCCGGGGAAATGGAGCTTGGATTGGCGCCATTATCGATGAACTGCTCCATAACGCATATCGCGCCATTTTTTCTCTCCTGCTAGTCAACGTAGTCCTCATGCAGAAGTCTCGAGATCAGTTCTGGTCTGGTTCAGATTCTTAGATGGACGATGTTCTACTGCGGGTTTTCTCCCCGGAAATTGCGTACTGGCTCTGAGCAAACAGCTGTATTGGCTACCCGCTCAATGTTTCATAAGCTGTTGTTTAACATGCTTTCCTTTTTCTGTCAATCGCATGTACTAATGATGTTAATAGATATTCCCTCTGACGAAGCACTGTTGTCTTATGTGCTTTGATTCTCTTTTCACCTGCTCCGCTCAGTCGCGGGATAGTGAGCCTGAAATCAACATTTTCCCTCAAGCCAGGTACAGAGAGGCAGATTGGAGGCAAAGGCACCCATAGACGCGGAAATCCATCAGGAAGGGGCTTCCTAATGCCCCCTCAAAGCCCGCCTCCATGACCGACGCATACGAACCAGATGACGACCGGCTCACTCCCGGGCTAGAGGTTCAGAAACCCAATTATAAGCCCGACGAGCAGCTGCCCCCATTTCTAACTCAAGATTCGCTCTCTAAATCCGATGCTACTGCTAAATACCCTGGAGATGAGGGAACGTCTTCGGACTTTCCCCGTAAGCCGTCGCCGACATCCAAGCCCGAAACAACTGAGGGCGACTCGGTACTGATCTCTCATCTAGATCCGAATCGCCCGGATATTGCCAATTACGAGTTAGAACATCGGCGCCTTCGGGATCCCTGGGTAGAGGATCAATCAAGTCTGCAGAAGACGAAAATTGACCCTCAAGCAAGGGAAGATGTCAAATTCCAGGAACCGGCTTCGTCAGTGGCGGAGAGAGCTCTCCAACTCTTATCGTCTGGCCCTGACGTGTTACCTCCGCCCGAAAACTTGGTATCACCTCCGACTCTCAAGAGCGCATCTCCGCTCCAATCGATCAAGGACTTGTTGGAACCGCCTGTGTCACAGGCCGAGCCAATCAGCATCAAAGTCGAAGTATCATCTCCAAAAGAATCACATCCGCCGGGGCCCCCGAATTTCGCCGCCGAACGCAAGTCTCCCGTTGTTTCGCCCTTGAAAAAGTTTGCAATATCACCTTCAGAAGGACCGGTCCAAGCCTTGCTTCCAGCACTCCAGACGTCTCCTCCTTTAGCAATTGCCAAATCGCCAGAGAACCACCAACAGCATAGCCTGCCGTCGATACAGACTGCTTTGGCCGAGATCTCGGGGCCTTACTCTCTTCCTCCAGTCTCGACATCCCCTCCTTCAATACCAAGGAATGAACCAGCGTGGGATCATCCACGCCCAGGACAGTTTGCTCCACCACAGGTTCCCCCTAGTCCTTACTCACATCTTTCCCCTGCGAGCTCCAAGGGGATGTCAGCTGTGTCCTCTCCAGCATCGCAGCAACAATCGCAGTGGAGGCATACACGATCCGACATCACTTATCTCACAACGCCACATTATGAACCTTCGCCATCGGCGGTCAAGAGTCCGGCAACCAGCTATCCCACTCCCACTGATCAGACGCCAACGGGCGAACGGGCGCCTTTCAATCCGGGCCCGCCGCCCACCGCACCGGTTCCCCCAGGCACGTTTAAATGCCGGCATCCAGGGTGTACTGCGCCACCTTTTCAGACCCAATATTTGCTTAAGTAAGTCAAGACGAACCTCGTTGTATTGACAGGAATGGGCTCATCTTCTTTCGCAGCTCTCATGCAAATGTCCATTCACAAGATCGACCACACTTTTGCCCAGTCGAAGGGTGTGCTCGAGGAGTTGGCGGCAAAGGATTCAAACGCAAGAATGAGATGATTCGACATGGCCTTGTCCATAATTCGCCAGGTTATGTATGCCCTTTCTGTCCGGATCAGCAACACAAATACCCCCGGCCGGATAACCTTCAAAGGTGAGCTTCTACTGTTCTTGGCCGTCCTTCAGGTCCTGACAGAATATAGACACGTGCGAGTTCACCATGTCGATAAGAGCAAGGACGATCCCGAGCTCAGACGAGTGCTGTCTCAAAGACCCGAGGGTAGCACTCGAGGCCGACGGCGCCGAACCACAGCTCAGTAGCTCATGCGCTGCATTATCCTTCATGTTTACTCGCCTTCAGTATGCCGACCGTCGAAACCCCTTCTCCCGTCGCATCACCACATAGGATCGACCGCCCATTCGTGTAACCTGCATATGCATTGACGAATTCCCTTCCCGAGTTCCTGTTTGTCGTACCTTACATGATACCATATTCTTAGAATTACGTTCGCGTTCGTTGTATGCTGCCATTCGTTTTGTATTAGCATATATCCTTCCATCGCTATAGGGTACAGCGTGGTGTCCGAAATGGGGACTTGCCTTGTGATTGCGATAGCCGGCGTTGAGTGTTTCTTTTTTCTATTGTCTGAGCTGCACATTAGCCTATACATACATCGTTCTTTGGAAGCTTTGGCGTCTTGATCTTGGCCTGAAATCGAATGGAATCGAGCTGTTCATCTTCATGTATTTGCAAAGATATGATATAGCCAATACGACTTGAATCAATTTTAGCAAATCAAAATACGCAGCTCGTCTATCGAATACAACATCCGCAACAGCAACGATTGTCGAGACTCCCACACAATGACATCCGCCGCTAATACCAACCCAAACCCGCCATAAATGCATACATACATTCCCTAAGAATCAGTCAAAGTCAAGAGTCAACCTCCCCCCTCTTATGAATCCGCCGCACATGGTCCTTCATGTTGTCTACCCGGCTAAACACCCTCCCGCAGTCCGGCCACTCACACACAACCCCGGGGTTATGCTTCGCCTCGTGCCGGGCGCGGTCCTTCTTGCTCGAGAACCCGCCCGCAACAGCCTGCGGACAGCCCTCGTGCCGACAGAACAGGTGCTTCCGGTGCCGATTGAAGTGTTTCCGGAGGTCGCAGCCGCGGTGGAACGTCGCGGCCGAGGTACAGCCTGGATAGGCGCATCGCCAGGAGCCATCGGGGTTGGGGATGCCGTAGTTGGTTAGGTCTTTGGTGTCGAGGTCGAGGTTGGGGTTTGTTGAAGGGTCCGGGTAGAGGTAGGTTTGCGGGTTGGGGTTGAGGGTAGTGGGGGTTGTTCTTTGCGCGGTGTATGTCATTGTTGAGGATGGGTAGATGTCGGTGGGGTGGTAGGTTGTTGTAGGTGCTGCTGCTGTTGGGGGGACTTGGGAGGTCCATTGCTCGCCGTAGGGGAGGTAGGATCCGCTCATGGGTGCGAGCATGGTGGTGTTGTAGGCTTGGCTTGTTGGCATGGCTGGTATGGTCGGCTCGAAGTCGAGGCGTGTGTATGAGGACGCTGGGGGACTGGCCAGGTAGAAGCTGTCCATGTCTTCCTCGCTATCTGCTTGGCCCATGTGGTATGGGTAGGTCTCGGGGACATCATGCATGCCTGGGAAGGTATACTGGTGCGAAGACATGGCGAAGACGGTTTGGTGGTACGTGTTGAATAAAGTCATATTGTCACGGGCCACAGTATGAAATTCTGTAGTTGATCCTTGTTCTGTTCAAGGAAACCACAGGATCAAGCGATGTCAGTGATATTCTTGTCTTCCAAGCAAAGGTTGATCATGAGATCTTGCAGTTAAATAGTTCCTGGCGATGCGATCCATCATTGTTGAAGCGGAATGTTTCCGTGCTAGATGAGTCGAGTTAGTATGAGGCCTAATTTCTTTTCTTTTTTCCCTTGACTAATGATATACCCAGAAATGCTTCTTCATTAGAGCCGAATGGTATTGCTCAACGTCAGACGTGGCTATGTTATGCTTCGGCACGCTGACAGAGTTGACTGAATTAGCAGCTGTCGACTCTTCACAATGTCCATGTACTACTCTTAAACCTGCATAGAGCCGGTTGATGTCATGGAAGTCGATACCATTGGTTGTCGACGTGCGATTATGCCTATTTCTGGGTTCTTCATGTTGTATTTCTTCCATTCACACAGCACGTTGAAACTACGTGAGAAGGCCAGGTAGGCTCAAACTCCAGATAGCGTCGGGGTTGACGCTCGGAGATCGTCATAATGAACCAGTGACCGTGAGGAAAATCTGTTGGTATGATGCTGTGCTGAGACACATATTTTCATACCGGTTGTTCGCTGCTTGGTACCTGTGGCTTCCAAACCTTCTTGTGGGCTTGGACTTGGCTGCATATAGTTAGATGTATACGAGGCTTGGCGCAAGAGCCAATAACAGCAGGATCAGGTTGCGAACACTGGGGTTACTCTTAGCGCTGATTAGTCGTTTAGACTATTTGCACCGGCGGCCGCACCAAAGGCACCACAGCTCGAGAGAGATCTGTGGTTGACAACACGGACTCCCGGTATCGAGTATGGAGGGGTCAGATGTGGTCCTGGCAATCAGGGGTCATCATTGGATGTCCGGTAGGGCTGAGGTGCGGGGACGCTGTGCAATCAGCAAGTGGCATGGCACTTGTCTTAGCTGTCGGGAAAGGCTTTATCTGGTTCAGATATTGGGAGTTATAATTAGTCACAGGCGATCTACCAAACAAACGACCCTTTTCGCTGACAGAGGATATCGGCTTCCACAAAGGGGAAGACGTCCTTTGCCTGGTCGACCCAGTCCGATCGGCCAGAGCCCAGAGGCTTAGAGCCTCTTAAGATTTCTGTTTGGGCCAACACCTGGAGCCACGTGACTTGGGTCTCACCTTCGGCCCTTTCCCTAGGTATGCATGGTTCCGTGCGGTGTGGACAATGAACATAACTGCAGCACAATTAGGAGAAGATGAAGAGAATATGCTTTTCTCACTAGTGCATAAGCCAAAACATGCAGAGCATTGCGCCTTGATAAGGGCCCCCACACCTTGGTGACTGGACTGGATACGCTTACCTGGCCTTGCATCCTCTCGGTTCCTGTCTTACCTCCAGATAGCGGTCATATTCACTGCGACAGTCCCATCAAGCGAACGCTGATCCCAATGCAACCCCATTGTGTTATTTTCAGTGCTTATCCTCCTGAGAAAATGTTGTGCAAAGAATGGATAAAAATGGAAACACGAGACGGCCCCAGAAAAGCCCGCCGGGTGGCTGTAAAAAGAGCGGTGTCAGCAGAACAAGGTTCATGATGTATCAACAAGCCTTCAAGATCTTGCTTATCTTTTGTCATGCGAGACTGTTCACTGTTGTTTTGCCCTCCCTGAGACAGCTGACTCTTTCCCTCCTGCCCCGCTGAAGTTGGGTTTGGCAGCTCGGAGGCCTTACCAGATTTTTTTCCCCGTAGAATTCTATTGATTACGCTGACCAGAAGGAAACTACATATGCTTGTGGTGCAGACGGGTCCAAGCAGGTTCAAAGGGAGCAAGTACGGTTGAGCTATTGTCTAAAGGAGCACAAATGTAGGTATATATCAAGTAGCAAATGGTCAAGCGCTAGGGTCCGACAATAGGGGAGTGACGAGGTCCGGATGGCGATTGATCTTGCCTTCCGTGGAGACTCTGTAAAGGATATAGTGCTGCACAATAAAGACCAAATCAAACAGAATGGTCACGTTTGACAATAAGAACTTCACAGGGTTTCCGGTAATACCACTCCAGTCGCTCTGAAATGAAGAATCCAAAACTAGTTGCAAAAGGGAAAGGACCCCACCAGTCAAGTCGAAAAGTATCTGGGAGATACTCCACCCCTCTGTGGACTTTCTTTTATAATTGACCCATGCTTGAGGGACATATTTCACAATGGTGATGATCAACTTCACGTAGGAGAGAGCGTAAATCTAGAATGCGGAGTCAGAATCGACAAAAATCTCCTATATGTCTTTTCAATCCCCAAACCACTTACCACGTCGATCCATGCCCAGGTGGATGGGTCATATCCTCCGTCAGGGCTCTTAACCAAAACAATGCAAACTACTATACCTATCGCTGCAATGGAGCCCCAGAAGAGGCCAAGAACCGGTTTACTAACGGTCTGGAAGCGGGAGACTTTGAAACCCCAAATCTTAGGCCAAAATTGAGTGTAAACCAACGTGCTGAGGATGACAGCATGCAAGGCAAAGGCAAAGTCGTTGAAGCGCACTGTCGACTCCTCATCCGAAGGGTGACGGGCAGCGTATTGCCGCCGAATCACAGGAGAGTAAAGGAAGGCAGATGTATATGCTGTGTAGCAGACGAAGCCCAGGACGTTAATGGTGGGAAAGTCAATGGCCAACCCGACTGTTGAACGTCGTCGAAAGTTACTGATCGGCTGGGGATAAAAGGATGCCGACCAGCAGAACATACTTGGTCATTAGGTCAGCAACCGGCAGTATTGGGGGATAGAAGCCTCTCAGGAGATATGCCTGCCCCAGATTGACTTGGAAGCGCGCAGTCACATACTATATCCATCCTAACAGGCTATAAACGGCTTATCAGTACATGTTGGTAGTATCAATGATAATCGATACTCACCGTGAGAGAGCCCTCACGAAGATCTCGAGCTGAGAAGACATATCTCTACAGTTCGTCTTGCGTTGAAAAGAATCATAGAAAGGAGGTAATAGAATGACGTTGAGATGCGAAAAAGACTAAAGGACAATGAGGATTAAGGGACTGAGGACCAGCGCCAACCTATGGCACTGGTCCAGCTGATAAGAATCATCAGTTAACCTAGGCACACGACAAATCCATAAATAGCAGGCGGTGTAGATAACATTGACTGAGTCAGCGGTTGGTTGCTCGGGATATGAGTTGGCACACTAAACCCGAATCGGCAAACAGTTGTTACGCTGATCGGACGCTTACTCCCCCAGCGTCCAGCCATCTGCTCCCTTCCAGAGGCTGATTATTATTATTGTCAGTATTGCTTCATTGACGCTGATTCTGGTAAGACCATTTATCTTGCATGTTTTCCCTTTTGATGTTTTGTCTGACACCATATTTGGTATTCCTTCCAGCCTTTTCACTCTATCGTCTTGTCCCCGCTTCGATCCTCCTCACCGCCAGCCTCACGAGTATACAGAAGTAAATATTCCGTCCATAACATTTCAGAAGCTTAAACGTCTTCCATTTTTGGGTCTGGTGAGCTAATTGACAGGCACAGCCGACCGTCCATCACGCTTCTATTGTCTTTCCTTTAAGCGCATGGTGCATTCTTCGGAGTGGGGGATCTAGATAGATCTCCTTGGTGGTTCCGGCATTCCCTTGTCTCGCAGGTCGCTGTCGCGAGGAGGGTGCGTACGGAAATCATGTCGTCCAATTCGGACCTCACGCCTCCGGGGAGCAGCACGTATGCCTCCAATACATTGCATGTCGGAGATGGAACATGGGACTCGGGTCGCGATACGTTTCTTCTGCCCAACTTGATGGGCGTGAACTTTGAGACTATGCGATACAACGGTGAGTGGAGTCGCATACTTTGTGTGAACGGCAAGCTTTTTCTGACATACATTCCAGGCATGGGGAACCGGTTCCGAGATATGCCCCAATACCGCACGTTGATAATCGCTCATGGTGTCATTGCAACAATTGTGTTCCTCGGTTTGGTGCCCATATCCGTCCTGATCATACGATACTATTCGCGATGGAGCCCTTTCTGGGCTTTTAAACTTCATGTCTGGTTCCAGGTTCTGACACTCTTACTGAGCACTGTGGTCTTTGTGCTCGGATGGTTTGCAGTCGGGCCTGAGAGAAGTCTCACGAACCCTCATCATGGCATAGGGCTAGCCATCTACGTCATGGTTATTTTCCAGGTATTATGGGGGTATCTCGTGCACAAGATTGAGAGTAAGCGGAAAAGATACCATGTTCCGTTGAAGCTAGTTGTGAGTTGCGGCGAACAAAGCCATTGTCTTTTTATACCTCGGCACCATTCAGCTAATTCGCCCATAGATCCATCGGTGGATTGGTCGTGCTCTTGCGATCTTAGGTCTAGTGCAGATTCCCCTGGGACTCACCCTTTACGGCTCCCCAAAATCCTTGTTCATCCTATACTCAATAGCTGCTTTCGCACTTCTGGCAACATTCTTCGTTCTCTCGTACCTGTACGATTCTGAGGGATATCCCACAGGAAGTGAATATGACGCTCGGCACAGCTACGTTTCAGGCCCTTCAGGCGTGGAAGATCGACGTCATAGCAGCTTTGGCCGCATGGCCGCGGCAGGAGCGGCAGGAGCGGGTCTGGCTGAGCTTTTCCGACGCCGTTCACGTCCGAAAGAACGTCACGAAGACTCCCAGATGTCTTATTCGGAAGACAAGTACTCCGATGAGGAGTCACGCCGTGGTGGCTGGGGGAGCAAGCTTCTCAAACTAGGAGCTATCGGTGGTGGTGCGCTTCTCGTTAAACGATTATTCGACAGAAGGCGCGATCGAGATAGTGATACGGAATCCGGTCGCTATAGTCGCGCGCATACACGAACTGACAGTATGACGGAAGCCACAATGAGTGGGTTGGAGGACGGACGACGGCCAGAACCAAGCTATCAGACTCCTCTCAATCGGCCACCAAGCAGACCGCCAAGCAGACCCCCCAGTAGACCACAAAGTCCGGGATCGTCTTATTATTACAATACAACATATCTGACTGAGCCAGAGCCACAGCCGTCTCATGGAGTTCGTAACGCCTTGTTCGGTGCTGGAGCTTTCGCGGCTCTCCGGGGTCTCTTTAAGCGTCGGAATAGAGATGACGAGCAACGACGCGTGGAGGAGATGCGCCGTCATGATATAGAAGAGGAGAGAATCGCTCGAGCAAACAGTAAGCGGCGATATACAGGAGACGGCTTCTACCCACGAAAGCACAGAAGGGCCGATTCCTACACCGCTACCGATCTCTCATCGACTGACATGACCCGCCCACCACGTGGGCCTCTGCACGGCGAATCCGCTATATCTGCCGGCCCCGCGACACCTGGACCTATGGACGTGCCACATTCCGGTGCCCCTCCTGCCCCGCCAATTCACCAAGAGCCAATCTCAGAGATGCCAACTCCTGTCCAGTCTCGACATGAGCTGCCGGAGGTGGCCACTGGTCTGGCAGCCGGAGCGGCGGCCATGGATGCCTCGTCCAGCCATCGCCGTCAGCGCAGTACAAGTAGACAGCGGGACGACCACGTGGAATCTCCACCTGTCTCAGTCAAAGTGAAGATGCACAATGACGGCCGGCACGTCACTCTGAGGAGACTGACCGAGGAAGAAGCCGCCGCCAGTCGTGAAGCACGACGAAGGGAGAGGAGAAACTCACGTCGTCGCGCCGGAAGCGCGAGTTCTTTATCGGGAAACGAAGGTGGCTACGATCGATGGCGCCGGGTGGAGGAACTCGAGCGTCAGCAGCAGGAACAAATCCAACGTGAACAGCAGGCGGCCGCGGCTGCAGCCGGTTCTGCTGCTCCTCCGCCATCATTTGTCCCGCCCTCGAGTCACTTTTCTCCCCCACCTCCCCCTGTACCCTCCAGCTTGCCCTACGGCAGCATCGGGTCTCCGGGCACATTTACCGGCACCGATGCCAGTGGCGACTATGCAAACAATCGCCGGCGAAGACGAGCGGAAAGAGCTCGAGCTCGGCAAGAAAGACAACAAAGTGTTGATTTCACATGATTGAACAAACCTGGACGGAGTGGCTGGAGTGCTTACCGGCCTCGTTATCATTGTACAGAAAGTGTAGTGCGCTATTGCAGTATGCTAATATCCCGCCTTTACCCCCTTTTTGATGTCACTGTCTCGTCGCCCTTGTTTTCTTCACCCCGAATAATGAAATATCGTCTAGCTCATGCAAGCGTCGGAATTCTTATCCTCTCGACCCCTTGGTTCTATCGACGTCCCTGGTTTCCCTTCCCCCTTTTCATGCACACGAACGACCCTCTTCACCGCGAATGCTTGATGATCACATGAAATTTATGGTTTGGGATGATTATGTATTTGGGAAAAGAATGTGGCGGTTCACCTTTCGATTCACAGTCACAATTGGTTGTTTATATGTTGATATTCCCCTGTCCCATGTATCCCAGAATAGCTTTTAGTTAGACGTCGTCGGCCACATTTTGGCTGCTTATGCTTGGAAAGCGGCTCTCTCATCAAACTTTTCTTTCTGTGTATTATTCGCCATGTAGTAAACGATTCGCAGCTCTAATCCTGTTCTACCTTTACACGAGGGGTAATGGGTTCTCAAATGTGAAGATGCAGTATATTGGTTGCCCTCTATCTAGAACTAAACTCCCGAGAACGAGAAACCATTTTGTCTTCACCAGAGGCTAAAAAACCCAAGCCTTCTTAACCAGCAAGGCCCGAGTGAATGGCGATGATGCACAGGGCTATAGATGTAGATTCGTCTTCACACGCTGAAGGCGCGAGAAATGCTTGGTGGAGTCATATACGCATGAGCTGACAGAGGGTTTGGGACGGAGCGTCGAGAAGGCGGCAATGGTTGAAGGTTGGGTGAACGAGGAAGAGGGCAGTGGCAGGCAAAGGATGTTGTATTGATATCCTCCTCGCCGCTGGACATGAGCCAAAAGGCTGTTCCTAGGGGCGATCATTGGCCAGAAAACAGGGGTTCAGATCCAGGGTGGCGGCGGAGGAATTATCGAGCTATCGAGCGGTCACTCTAGGCTAGCTCCCTTGAACCTCTTAGCAAGCTGTTCACTCTCTGACTTGGGAGATTCAGGTCTTGAGGAAAGATGACGTTTCCCTTGTTGGGACAATGGGCGTGGAGGATCGGCAGGGTTTAGCCAGGGGCGCTTAGGGGGGCGCTCACCACTTTCCTGAAGAACAGTAACCAGGGTCGCCCAGCCGGGGGTGTTTAGCAGCTTCAGCCCCTCTGTGGGATCATGGGTCGTCGCGACGCGGCACAGCAGTGCTTCTTCCTCCTGTGGGTTCATATGTTAGGAAACAGTGACAAAGGCTGGTGAAGCCAGGCTCAAGCTGAATGAGCAATCGGTTACAGCCACACTTACCTTGCTGAACATGGATAGCGAATGCAGGAAGCACAGAAGATGGAAATCTGACACTTCACGAATTGCCTTGTCTGGATCACCGTGGGATACCAGCTTCTTCGCGACATGGCGTAACTCCTGACTCTCGCCGATGACTTCCCGGTTCTCAATGGGAAAAGTGCTCGCTGAAAACATAGGAGACGCCTCGGTAGGGAAACCATGGGTCAGGGTGACTAGTAGGTACTCGACAGGAAAGCTGGGTTTGGCGTTTTGCTGAGCACTCACGCCGTACTCGTTGATCTTCCGGTAGAAGACCTCGGGGATGTACCGCGACTTGTTATCCGTATCGTCGTCTTCCGACTGCACCAGCATGACAGAGGGCTCGGCGGATGGTTCAACAATATCCGCCCTCACCATCTCAACAGCGGAGATAGAGGCCTGATATGAGCTGACAGTGATGGCCCCTTCTTCGTCGCCGCTGAGGACGCACGTCACAAAGTTCGAGCCAAAACGGCCGGTTCGACTCCACTTTGTCGCTTTAGGATGTTTTGCCTGCATCCGAGATGCGAAGGCAATTTCCAGTGACGATAGGTAGTACGAGTCGATGTGTCGCTTGCATACCACCGAACCGTCTCCGCGTCCCGCATCGAGCAGATCCGTGAAGATGACGCCGACTTTCTCTAGTCCACATTGACGAGCTACTTCATCCACCTCCTTCTCATTCGGCCATTCGTGAAGCGTTATCCCGTCTATTTCATCCACCTGTGGTGGTTCATAGATTGCCTGTACCACCGCCTTGATACCCAGAGGTACCTCGGTATATTCTTCGTACGTGCCGTACAGGAAACCCAACCTCTGAGCGCCCGATTTCCGCCAGAAGTCAAGCAGCGAGTTAATCAGGTCGGGCGAAGCAAACTCCACGTGGTCGACCATGCGGAACTCCTGAGGCTGTAGACTAATCGCACTCGGCTGACACTTGGTACAAATCCCTTCAGGCCACGGCGGATGACCAGAGGGACAATCGCGCCGTACTCGGTAGTAAGGCTCATTAAGAGGTGGCATGAAAGAGCTCTTCAGCTCGGCTTTGTTGGTGGTTGCATTGACCTTCCGCATGTATGAGTGAAACGATAGGTGCTTGATCTTCTTCTCCGCGAGGTACTTGGGGTCGTAGGGCTCGAGCGGCATGCAGTAGTCACACATGCCTTTGGGGCCGTGATTACACATCTTCGGATCACGGGGACGATAAATTTTCCCGTCCTTCTTGTCCAGCATATCGTCCAGCGGCGATTGTTGCACAACTTCCCAGGGATTCTTGATCGTCGCCGATGGGGAGGTGGGGGGGTGAAATGTGACAGTCTCGGTTTCTGGCACCGGTGCTCCGTTTAGCCGCCGTGATACATCTGCCGTGACATGCTTGTGGGCCGGAGCAGCCTGCGATGCTTGCTTATCCTGGTAGCCAATGAAGAGCTTGTCCCCGTGCCTTTGAGCCAACAGTCGTCAGCCAAAGCCAAGTACACCACTGCTGAATACTCACTTCAAACCGACCCGCTCAATCGAGACCCCAGCGAGATCCTTCAACTGTCTTTCTTGACCGCCAGTGCCGATGGGTTTGTTGGACAGCACGAGCGAGGAAGGTTCAACATCTTTGGGGAGGTTCTCTAGGATCTGCCAAAGATAGATATAGTCAGCAACTGTGAACTCTATGCTATGCTGGCCACACACGATAAGACATACCTTCTCCTGTAGTAAAGGAAACTGCTCTTGCGGGCTGACACTGAGGCGAAACTGGCCGTTGCGGCTCTCAAATCTGAGGATGATCGGCCGCGCAGCCGCCATGTTTGGAAGAGAAGTCGGTCGGCGTGTTGGGATGGTTGTTGGGAGTAGTGTGATTTCATAAGCTTGTGCCGGGAAGGACTGCGAAGAATCAGGTCGTTGTCGGCTGGTTTTCGCGCAACGGAGACGATTGAGCGAGGCAGGAGGTAGCAAGTAAGTTGTGAGGTGTGAGGTGTGAGAGCTCCAGTGGAGGTGCTTATCCAAAGGCGGGCAAAGGCAGCGGAGGTCTATCGTCATCGCCCGTCACGGTGTTACCAGTATGTTACACTGCAGCCAAACTGCAAGTCAAAATTTGAGGTAATTATGGTATTGAGGTTACATATGCTATCTGGAGGTAGCCACCGTTGCTGATATTCAACGATTACCCTTTCTCCCCTGTTGGTCTTCTTCTTCATCATCTTCTTCCTTTTTCCCTTTTATTCTTCAGGTCTTTGCGGGGAGGTGTGTTGTGGTACTATCTGCAATAACAATTTGATACAAGTAACTTGACAAGCTTCAGACAAGCCTGTCCACTGAACCCTCAAATTCCAATAACAAGATCCCCGAGTCGATCTGCGTGAATTCATTAATGCGTATATATGGATCCATCTTTACCATAACTACATACATACATACATCTATTGCAGATATTGACCTCCCAATCCGATGACGCCATTCGCAACAAAGAAGAACAAGTCAACATGACAAAGAACAAAAGGGTATATATCGAAATTAACTACGAGATAGTGCACTTGGGAAGACCACAAGGTCCCTCCTTGCTCTTCTCTTTCTTCGCCCCTTGTGTGCCTTGTCCATTCCCCTGTCCGCTCGGCGCAGGCTTGGGAGAGGCCTCAGTCTTGGCTTGCTGTGCTGCCGCTGCAGGCTTCACTTCCTCGCCACCATGTAGTCACGCGAAGTTGACCTTGGCGACGGTCTCGTAGAAAGCCTTACCCTGGGCCTCGGCGATCGAGAGCTCCAGCTCAGTAGGCTGGCGGGAGCCGTCGGCACCCTAGATGACAGGAGTCAGTAACAAGCCTCGCTTGATTGAGACGAACTAGGGAAAAGATAGCTTACAGCAAAAGTACCAGCACCCCAAGCGCTACCGCCGTGGATCTCCTCCAGGTTGGCGAGCTGAGGGAAGACGGTCTTGTAGCCGAGAGGGACGTAGATGAAGCCGTGGTGGGCGAGGGTGCTCATGGCGGCAATGGCAGTCGACTCCTGGCCACCACCGAGGGTACCGGTGGAAACGAAGAGACCGGCGTACTTGCCCCAATAGCCGCCAGAGGCCCAGATACCACCGGTCCTGTCCCAGAAGGCCTTCCACTGAGCGGGGAAGTTACCGTAGCGAGTGGGGATACCGAAAAGGATGGCGTCGTAGTCCTTCAGAGTGTCGGCTTCGACGACGGGGTAAGACGACTTGGGAGGAGCGTGCATCTTGGCGAGGACGTCCTCGGAAAGGGTCTCAGCGATCCTAAAAACAAATACTAGTCAATCACTGCACGACTAGAGTATACCCCGAAGATCAAAAACATACTGGAAGATGTCGGCCTGGCCACCAGCCGACTCAATACCCTTCTTCTCGGCTTCGGCCAGCTTCAGGATGTGGCCGTACATGGAGTACTGCGCAGTTGACCGATTAGCGAGCGCTAAGTGTCAAAGTTCAAAGAGGGTCACATACAAAGACGATAGCGACCTTGGGAGCCATTGTGACTGATTGGAAGTGTCCGAAGCGAACAGAATACTATAGTACAGATTTGTAGTAGAGACTTGTCTGTTGAAAAATCACAAGGACCTTTGCAGAGGCTTTATATATATGCGAATGGAGGAAGCTCTCGACTCCTGTAAGGTACCCTCCAGTACTAGTGCCCCTCACTAAGAATTTGGGAGATTCTGGATTATGCCATCCTTCACTGCTGCATCTGTAATCGATTACAGAGTCCCCGTCGTTGAAAAGAAAGGCACGCTGATTCGTCGATTGCACCATTCCAGGACCCATCTCTCATGCTCCGCTGTCAATCAGCAATCCAGTCTTGTCATTCCGGGCCCACCATTTAGTCCAAAAGCCAATCAGAGACCGTCCCTAGACATGGTCCCCCATTAGATGATTCTTACGCATTTCTGACAAAGATTTGCTGCGGGATGAATCCAGAGCAAAACACCTTACAAATGCCCTGATTCTTGGGAATCTTCGAGCAGTGGTCTTCTCGAGCGCATTGCTGAATGATTCCTTGATAAGGCTTTATCAAGAATGCCGATTATGGAGCTGATGATAAGCTGAACGACATGAGAGAACGTTGCAATTAACCATCGTCCAGCTAGTCATGATGTCATACATTAATCTTTTGATCTCCCTTGTCTAACGGTAGTATTTTCCTACGGTTGTGGTGGTTTTAATCTACCACATCAGGGCAGAAGAGGGCACCACAATCCTTCAGAAATTCTACTGCATTGACACCATGAGCACATACGTCATTAACACCTTTTATAACTTCAATTTGGGTATCTTAGCGACCTGTAAAAAGCTTCTAAAGTATGCGAAACCAGCCAACTTCCATAAGAGCCGTAAATAAACTCCCATGCCGGATACAGAGAGCCTGATTCTACCCCCGTCCACGTCCTCGATATCGGCCGCGCATGAAGCCACCTCCACGGCCACGCTCGCTCCTCCACTCTCGTTCCCTTTCCTTCTCTCTCTCCTGCTCCTCTCGGATGAGAGCCCTTTCGCGCTCCAATTCCTCCTCGGTCTTTTCAACTCTCATCATAGGTTTCGGAAGATTCTCCGACCAGTGCGGATGAGCATCGGGGCACGCTTTACCCTCCGGACAGAATCCGGCTAAGTAGTATTTGCAAAGCCGCCGCCGAACATGTCGCTTGGCGCACAAGGGGCCCAGCTCGCAGAAGCCCTGATCGTAGTTCTCGCAGGGCGGCAATCGCGCTTGTTCGCGCACGTGCTGGTATAGACAATCATCGCCGTTGGGACAGTAGCCCGATCGCGAGAAGGACTGGCATTCCGGCATGCGGCGGAGGTTGTATTCATGAAGATATTCGCACTTGAGACCTTTCTTGCAGAGCCCCTTGAGGAAGTGTTTGCAGACTAGGGAGCCATGGGTTGTAGAAGGCGCCAGCCCGGACGCTGTTGTTGTTGACGTTGTTACCCGCGAGGGTGTGGGATGCCGATCAGGGCAGGCTGGTCCTAAGGGGCAATGCCCTTCACTGTAGGCTTTGCAGACGGGTACATCGCTCGCGAGTCCAAAACCGAAGCTTTTGCGGAGGAAGGGAGTGAAGGAGAAGTTGTTGTAGCTCGGATCTCGGGAGCTATCGGTGGATAGAATCCGTGCCGCAGCCGATTTGACGTCTGCTGTCATGGTGGATTATAGCTCGCAAGATATGAATTTCAATGCGTGATCGGCGGGTTTCACCAGGCTCGTTGGCCACGGTATGCGTTCAACAAAATCCTGCTCCTATTATGACTGCCCAGTCTTGATAGTCAACTTGACGTTAAGTCCTGTGGTGGTCGTCAAAATGACCGTACGGAGAAGAGTTGGTAGAATTCAGTAGTTGTAGAAGTGAAATATCTAAGGTCGTCAAAGATAGTCATATCACGGCCAGCTTTAATGCCTGAGGCATTAATACACCAGTACGAATACGGTAGGCGGTGGCAAACAGTATTACTAACATCGGACCAGATTCGGTGCTCCGTAGTTAGTTAGCAATCCGCGATGACATGAGCTGACTGAAACTCAAGTCAAGAATAATAATAGTCTATTCATTTTTGCTATGCTGATGCATCAACAATGTAACACTGTATGGGATAGTCTCGTGGTTTTCGCTGTGAAACAAAGACACCATTGACCTCTACCCCGTTCTGAGGAGTAGGCAGCCAATGGATAACCGATAACCCACATTGTCCCGTGGCAGAAGTCATTATGGGTAGCTAAAAGGCGCAGATATAGGGTACAAGGGGCAGTCATTTACCCAAAGGTCTGTGCTATGTCCAGCCAGAAATACAGTATGGTATCTCGGCCATTGCTACCTTATTCATTGGTTAGTCTCAGGTTAGTCTCAGGAGAAGACAGGAACCTTCTACATCTCAACCTCAGTCGCTTTAGGAGACATGTAGATTCTTTGTGTTTGTTCCGTATCTAGCTCCGATTTCATTCAATCGTCTTGGCTCTTCAATTCACTGTGGAGATGGACAGAAATGTTGTGGTTGATTTCTAAACTCTGGCCCCGTATGAGTATGGTGTCGCCTGGCCGTCTGCTAACAAGCCCAACATAAGTACGAAGTACAACGGAGTGACCCCCACAGAACACTCTGTCAAATTTGCTCCATCACCCTTCTTCCTTGCATGCACCTTGAGAATATCATGCATGGCCTTTCTATCAGTATAAGTTCGGTCGCTGGGCTCCGAGATCTGTTTATATTCAATAACAAGGATGGCTTATGATTGTGCTAATGGTTTGTCAATCGCCTGGGATTCAGATCACTAGTTTGAGGCTTGTATCGTCCCCGAGCAGCCAGAAGGAGCAAAAAGCAAATACGAGGCGGCTTGTGGGAGTCAAGGACAAATGGGAACAAAATTAATATCTTTCACATGGTCTGATTCTCAGTTACTTTTCCCAAAGCCACGAGCTCGAGTACCTCGAAATTAGGCCAAAAGTCAGAGGTGCACCCGAGAGGATATTGAGGACCTACATGAGCATGATGTACAGTCTTCCCTACCAAGCTAAGATTTAACAGTACTGAGAGTGAAATGATCCCCCGGGGTCCAAAAATGAGGCCAGCTGAGTCTCGTGCTCTAGACAATGGATATTGCCACCAGTAGAATATAATAATGCAATACCTGTGGTCAGGTTCTCACCGGGAGAAGCCAAAACGAGTCATCCCAGCTCTACGGAGCTCGATCCAGCAGAAATTGACGAAGCTCAGGATACCCAATGATAAATCCCTCCACTAAGCTTTGATCTCTCAGGGAGCCATTGGACCTGGGTATAAAAAGGCGGGGCTAGACATGATCATCCGGGGCGTTTGGACCCTACTGGACCAGGTCACGATGAGGTTTTCCCTGTTGCCTGAGTATGCTGATTCGATGGATCAACTCAGTATTCTAACCCTTTTCTGCAAGCTCTTGCCGCATTGACGCATGTATTTGAGTCTCCTGTGGAATTAATGTTTGCGACCTAAGGAGATTATATCGGCGAAGTGTGGAGGTGAGGGTCGCTATATTGCCGGCTACCTATACTCCGCAGCATGGAGTCTGTATGTGTTGAGTGTCATGCTTCGCAGTAGCTCTCTGACAGTCAAAGCTCTTTGGATCTAGCCTCGAACATACCAGGACGGATCAAGCAAGCGATTTCGGATGCTTGGGTTTTGACTGCCATGGAGGCGCGCTGGCCATTGGTTGCCTTTTCGGCCGCTGCGTCGAGGGGTTTCTCCGTCCCTGTCGTCCATTAGCACTTTTTGATCAACGTAATTGTGGTAGGAGTAACATGACTCTGATGGAGTTCTGTAACCCCAAAAAAGAAACAGGTCAGACCCAAAAAGGACTTTCCACACGTGACACTGTCAACAGTTTTAGCAGCTGCTTCTTACTTCCTCGGTTGCATATATTCAACCTCACTTCGAATGATTTTCTCTATTCCCGTAAATCCTTTTCAGCCTCTTCGTCGATCTGTGAGAATACCTACAGATCCGGCGGAATCCTGCCGAGCTTCGTCGCATTATGTTCTCCGGATCCATCTTCCCCCACTGGCGTCGTAAGGCGGCACAACGATCCAACAATTTCAGCAGCTCGTATGAAGTCCCCTTCTTCATGAACGCAGCCTACTATGCGAATTGGAGGATCTATCGAAAGCAGCCTCCCTCGTCCTTGAGATTGGGATTCATATCTCATATCTTCTATGCATTTGCTTGGTACTAGTCATACACACAGCCGAAGCGATTAATCGCCTGGTCTAGGTAGATACAAATGTTAACCATTATGTCTTTCTTTCTTTTAGGGTCAAAGAAGACGGCACAGTTTATGTGAATTCCCAAACCCGGACTTGATATTTCTTCTTTTGTCCTTTATTGCTTCTCTCTTCTTTCCATCATTTATTCTTACCCCGCTGACAAGTTGTTTGTGCAGTTGAGCGATGAATGGGCCGACTCTCAGATGCCCGTCGACGGCACCAATGGCTGCCTTCGGGCATTCACACAACTCAAAGCACAATACTCGAAGATGAAGGTCATTCTCTCAGTCGGAGGAGGAGGCAAGGGAAGCGAAAATTTTGCCGCTGTAGCGCGGAATCAAAACCGTCTGGAGACCTTTGTACGGACCGCGAAGGGACTGGTAGATGAGTTCGGACTCGATGGGATTGACAGTATGTAGCACCGTACGTTCGAGCCGTTCAGGATGATGCTGACGACCTGCAGTCGATTGGGAGCACCCTTCAAGCCCCGCCGAGGGTTCAGACTATGTCCGTCTTCTCGCCCGGTTGCGTGAAGTCCTACCCTCACCGCGTTATGTGCTGGCCACTTGCCTTCCAGCTGGTGAATGGGCCCTGCGAAATATAGATCTGTGCAAGGCACAGAACTATGTCGACCTGATCAACATCATGGCGTATGATTTCTCCGGACCGTGGACCAGCGAAACAGGACACCAGTCACAGCTGTATAGCCCATCTCGAGACCCAACGGGGGCCATTTCGTGTCAGTCGGCCATCGCGTACGTAATCGCGCAAGGCGTCAACCCCAAGAAGATTCTACTCGGGATCCCGGCGTATGGTCGCTCTTTCCTAGGCAGTAATCACATCGGTCAGCATTACAGTGGTTGTGGAGGGGAGGATGGTGTCTTCGACTACTGCGACCTACCGCGGCCCGGTGCAAAAGAGTATTACGATGAAAAGTCCGGCGCTGCCTGGTGCGTTGGCGGCGATGGCGGGTTTGTCACATACGACACCCCGGAGACGGTGCAACAGAAGGCCAAATTTGCGACAAAGACGAAACTGGGCGGTCTATTTTATTGGCACATCGGAGGTGATGCAAGAGGACCTCGTAGCCTGATCGAGACAGGGTATAAGACCTTGCATGATATGTGATCTGGGATATCCAACTCAGTCAAAGGCGGTTTGGACGTTTGTTTGTGCAACATCAGCGAGGAATCGAAAAATGGCGGAATGGGAAAACGGGTGGCATCGTCTGTTTTATATTTTCAAGTAGCAAGATTCGAAGTTCATTCCGATGTGAAATTATTAAGTTGATATCCTTTCCTACTTATACGGTCAACAATCCCTGTCAATAGGTGGGCAATTAGCCGATAACAAAAGTAGACGGTCAGACTTCAGCCGTGCGTCGATCGTCCATGCGATTACGCCCCTCCATCTTATTCGTCTCGTCGGAGTCTTATCTTCAGCAGCAGCGGATAGATCTGATTCTGATCCCGATCCTGACCACTAGCGCAGTATGAAGTATCCCAGTACTCCGAAGGTACGACCTATGACCAACAGGGCCCGGGCGGCTGATGTACTCCCTCGAGGTACGGTGCGCACCGTGCAATGAGGATATATGCACAGCTATGGCGTGATGAACTACACCACCTCTAATATATTTGAGAAACACTCATTCCAAGGCTGATTGGACGTCACCTTTTGTCAATAACTGGGGTAACTGACGTGATCATCTAGCGTATTATCAAATCGAACGAGTCTATAACAACATATCTCTATAGCCATAGCCGTAGCCATAAAATCTTGTCTAAGAAGTCTATGAAAACCACAAATGCAACTCAAAAGAAAGGAAGAAATCAAGCAACCCCATTCTTCGCAAACGCCTCCTTGATCTCCTTGAACCCCTTGTTCTCGGCAAGCAGCAGACCAAGCAGGATGCGCGCTTTCTGCGGGTTCAGGAAGCCGCTCTCAATTGTGGTATCGCTGTCTGTGATGGCGACTTCGCCGTTGCCGGTGCGGGAGCTGAGGACTATAGGGAGGGAGTGCGTGGATGCGATGTCGTCGATGGCGTCGTAGAAGCCGCTTGAGACGCTTCCTGCGCCGGAGCCGGCGATCTGGATTAGGTTCAGTTTTAGCGGTTGATCCGGTGAGGGTTTGGAAAGGGGCAGGACTTACGACGATGCCCTTTGCGCCGTTATCGACGGCGTCGTAGAGCGTATCATTTTGCATATCCTGGTACGAGTAGAGGATGTCGACTCTGGGGATGGAGGCGAGGTTGCGCACGTCGAAGGTGGTCTTACCGGTGGGCATGACGGGCGGGTAGAAGAAGTACGGGTTGTTGGAGACGATGGCGCCGAGGTTGCCCATCTCGACGGCCTTGAAGGTGTCCATGGTGTTGGCGTTTGTCTTGGAGGCGTAGAACGCGGACACAATGCGGTCGTTCAGGACGACCAGCGCGCCGCGGTTGCGTGCGGTGGGGTGCGCGGCGACGGTCACGGCCTGGAGGAGGTTGAACGGGCCGTCGGCGGAGATGGCGGTTGCGGGCCGCATGGCGCCGACGACGACGATGGGCTTGCCGCAGTTGACGGTAGCGTCGAGGAAGAAGGCCGTCTCCTCGAGCGTGTCGGTGCCGTGCGTGATGACGGCGCCGCTCATGGTGGGGTCGTCGCAGACGACCTCGTTGATGGTCTTGGCCATGCGGAGCAGAAGGGAAGACGTCACGTCGGGGCTGCCGACATTGGCGACTTGGATGCCGGCCACGTTGGCAACGTCCAGCATCTCGGGGACGGCGTCCATGAGCTGCTGGATGCCGATCGCGCCGGCCGTGTAGCCTGTTGTGGCGGTGTTGTCGTCGCTGGAGCCGGCGATGGTGCCGCCGGTTGCGAGGATGGTGACATTAGGGAGCGTCGTGTTCATCTGGGTGAAGTTCAGGCCATGCGAGTTGGTGAAGACATATGTACTGTTTGAGCCGGTTGCCCGGGGGTAGACAAACGGAGAGGCATTCCCAACGGCTATCAAAGCCGCGAGTGTGATGGTTTTGACGCTGAGTTTGGTCATCTTTGCGATCTGATGAGGCGAACTGCTCTGCTTCGAGGGATTGGAGTCGCTGTACACGCCAGGCAACCGTACCAGCAAAGCATCGTAGCACATCCATCCTTAAATAGTTACTCTCGTCAACACTTAGCCGTCGGCCGCACGACAAACCAGGAACTGAGACACTATCCAAGCTCACGATTACCATGATAAGGAGGTATCGTCGCGGTACTGCTGGGATCTCGTAATGATAATCAATATCAATTGGAGTCGTTTCGAGGACCATGTGGGATCGACTCCAAATTCTGCTTGGCATGAGGCATTTATCTGCAAGAGGAATTCTGGAACTTAACTCGACGCAGGAACCAGGAGAACAGCTCTCCAATCTGTTAATAATCGGCTCCTTGCCAAGAGGGAGTCGTTATCCATCAGCGATAAGTGTTGGAGATTGGAGAAACATCGGAGAATTCATTGCATTGGCATTACTGATAAGATCGGCGCATGGTTGATTTCTCAAATCTCTCAACGGAAAGCGCCCGAACGATGCCGATAGATGATGTTGCGTCCTGATCTATGTAAGGTAGAAAGAAGGTCCTGCCTGTGGTTGAATTATTCCAGCGGTGAAGAATCAGGTTGCCAGTAGAAGCCCTTATCGCCTCAGGCACAACCATGGATCGTCCGCAGCTAAATGCATTTTCACGAAACCATTTCTCTTTAGATATCACCAATAGATTAGCCAATTTTAATATGTCATCCAAAATATATTCGAGGTCGTTTTCAAAAAACCCTATCTCCTTTGCACTTACGGTTCACTTGATTGGTTCAAAGCTGGCTACAGAACTCCCGTCGGAGTCAACCTTCGAAGCGATGATAGGTCACGGAACAGCACGAGAAGATAAGGTATCATATATATTTGAGTCTGTCGCTGTCGGCGATCACTACCGCATGGTCAACAAAACGAGTCAAGAAAGAAGGTGTGCAACAGTAAGTGGAATAAATCCATCCAATCGTCATAACATTAGCATATATGTATCAACACTGGATTGTACATGTAGCCCCGTAAGGCAAGAAGTGAAAAGAAAAGCCCAGTGGTATATATATCCACCGGTAAGGATATCTCTCAACAACGTCACCAATCGATTAGCCTAGCAACTTAGCAAGGTCCAAGGTCACATTAAGTGTATTCGACGCCAGGGCCTCGCTAAAGTACGGGATGGCTTGGCCGTTGTAAACGCTCGAGTTGGTCGAGCTTCCTGAGATCGACACAGGGAGACCGTTGGGGTACTTGTCGAAGAATGGTGCAATTGCCGACAGTTTGACGGCGGATGTCATGGGCAGGGTGTTGTTGCCGGGAACCAGCTTCAGGTCGTTCAGGTATGAGGTACCAATGGAGGTTCCTTCGCAAGAGAGGTCGAGAGTGACATTACCCTAGGTCAATCAGTCGACGCTACATTGAAGTAAAGAAAGCAACATACCATGCTGATCGTCATCGGAGATGGGTTGGGGATGTACACGGTTCCACCAAAATTGGCGCCATTCGACGATTTACCGGACAAGGCATGCATTTCCGTAATGGCGAAACCTTCGAGCTTGTTGAGAGCTAGAGTTTGCATAATCAGCTGTGTCCGACGCCATGGGTTTGACCGAGCCCTGGTCACTCACCCTTCATAGTAACAGTCTTGTTGTACGTCACATCGATTTTAGGCAGGCCACCCTGCTTCAGGTCGGGCTTGCCATAGATGTTTAATTTAATCTCCTCACTCTGCATGACCGCTGTAGCAAATCCTCCAAAGGCACCCACATCGCTCAGGTCCAGGGTCTGGCTGATATGGACCACAGTGCCGTCATTGGCTTTCACCTGAGGAACCTTGACGGTTGCGAACGATGCAGCGCCCAGCAAGCCGACAGTAGCATCGAAGGCATAGATCGTAGGATGGAACATGCTGTGCGAGCCGATGACCTGTGTCTGGTCCAAGAACAACGAATCCGGCGTGGGATCGGAGATGATCATCTCCCTGATCTCCAATGTGGAGTCATTGATGTCGCCTTGTGCGATGTTTGGATACCCAACATACACCCTATTGTCTTGTCAGCTCCGAGCCTTTTTTTTCTCATGTATCACGCAGAAGAGAACATACAAGGGAAGGGTCACCACCAGGACGACCACAATGATCACGATGATATGAACCCACCACCACCGCTTGTAGTGGTTGAGCACACGTCTCCCAAAGCTCGGTTTGGGAGACGGGCCCTCCACAAACCCAACCTCGGAGACTTCTGGCTTATCGCCGGCCATTTCGGATCGCTTTGTGCTTTTTGTAGTCTGTCCGACGCTCTGACGTAGGACCGGGATGGCGTGTGACACAAACGGTCTATCCCCGGCGCGTCAGTATACAGAAGTGGTCGAAGAGTCAGTCGTTTAACAGTGCACACACTGTTCAGATGATTAGCATCAGTTCAGAACCAGAACAACGTTATAGTTAATAATATACCGAGTCATGCATCAAGCACAAAGCAAGGCCGTTGAAAATTATTGGAGACAATAGGGACACAGAAAAACGGACGGGGTTAAAAAAAATTGCTTGAAAGAGAGGATCTACCTATTTTAGTTTGTCCACCGAGGGGAAGGCGAAAAAGTACTGAGGGCGGATGGTCAAAGTCCAGATTCCAGACGACGGACCACCCAGTCCCTAGGGACCTGTCAAGTGCTATATCTATGCCCAAGGAGGGGCGAGGTTCCATCACATGTAGAAAAATACAAAGCAACCAGATTCAAGCACCGCGGATCTTTCCACCTGACGGAGTTGGATTCTGACCAATATCCGGAGACTTGTACAGAAACATTCCCCCTTCCCGACTGCTTAATTTTGGATCTTGTGGAGAAAAGGGGGGAAGGGGGGAGCTAAGTGACTGGGGTTTGGACGCCAGGACCCAAGGTGCGAGAGACTAGAAGAGAGATGGATACTAGACAAGCAGCGTGGCGAGGACCGTTACGGGATACCTCGTAGATTAAATGAGATGACCTCGGCGGATGAGGGATAAGCGAGCATGAGACAGAGCCATGGCCACGATCAGGCTGATGAACAGCAGTTTATGGCTGATGCATCATGATTTGCGTTAGCTTTGCGAGGCATATTCCCAAACCAGCCGAGGCTGAAGGGCGTCGAGGATAACTAAGTTTGCAGGCTCTTTCCCAGGAAGCATAATCCTGGGTTGTTTCGCAACGTAGCAGTCTGGATTTGATTGGATTGGGTGCGATTGATAGTGCTGACTCTAAACGAGGGGCGACTTGTACTCCTGTAGGCTGGCAGGGACTAGAGAGGTACTACTCTAGTATTCGCCAGACCCCGGATGCAAGCCCGGATGGTGGTGGATGGGAGGGTCCAATCCTACCTCTCGTAAAGAAAGTGCAATTTCCCCATGGTCGATCCTGACTTAGCAAGGGAGAGAAAGTCTCGGGAACTGATTGGACTGGAAGGCCGGGGTAAAGAGGAGAAGTGAGACCAAGTGGGTTGGAATGATGAGAAACATGGAATAATGGAGGCAATGGCCCAAAAAGAGCAGCCAAGACAGAAGCAACCACAAGAGAGAATGCGGTTTATTTTGGTTAGATTCGCGGGGGCGCAGAAGCCAGAAGGTCGAACAAGCCAATCGCCAACAAAGTGAGCAGACTAAAAGAGCCGGACAAGATAGCGCGAGTGTGTGACCTGGGGTTACAGGCGGGAATGGCCGCTTTAGGTGATTCCTCCGTGCGCCATCCTAAATACGAGTCATCTTCCTTGGTTAGTAACTTCGGATGGAGCTGCAAAGTCGCCAATTAAGATTTTCATGATTTTGGGATCTTGAGCAACCATCAGTCATCGCGAAGGCGATGCTGATTCGACGACAAAGGCTCCGACACCTGAGATCGATCGACAGTCGCAAATCGAAGACCAACTACTCTCATTCTCAGATCGTCAGTTTCACGTTGAAGAGTTATTACCTCTTGACTGGATTTGGACTATGGCGCCATAATTCTGAAGGTTTGTTACAAACTAAAAAATAAAAATAATTGCACTAGCCACACCTGAGACGATGATCTACACAAACGATCAACCCGAGGTAGGATCCCCCTGCTAACGGGGATTTCGGGTCGTACGAAAGACCCGAACCATCTACAGTTCTCTGTCGTCATCATTCTAGCAGTCCGGTTTTATTCAATGGCTCGGATATGTTAGTCTTGAGTATGAGGGCAAATATGCCAATCAGAGCTGCTGTGTAACCATACTAGGAGATAAAAGTCGAGGCGCTGCATCGCCTTAGGCGATTCCAGCCTATCCTGCGCTGATATTATAGCTTAGTAGATGACTGTTCGAAGATATAAAGCAAGTAGCTACACTGTTCGAAATGTCACAAAACGTTCCAGAACTGGGCGGCCAAGGCCTCCTGTACCGAAAAACATTTCAATTAAGTTTGAGTATCATGAGGATCATCAGGTATAAACTGTGCCAGAATATACATCGCCAGCTGAAGAAGAAGAAGAAAGAATAAAGAAAGAGAAAGGCACGAACTGTTGGAAAGAAAGATAGAAATAGATGGAGAACCAAAAAGGTGATGGAAGGGGACAGCATCACACAGTGATTAGAAATTACGGGTATCCAAGAAGAGTCAAGAGGCAAAGCTCACAAAGCAGCCAAATGACCATTGGCAGATCTCGCAGCACCCGCGCCAGAGTCGACTGAGGCAGCCGACAAGTACTGCTCGAACCTCAATAATGAACAGGAGAATGGAAGAGAAGGTTGATGAAGTGAAAAAAAAAAAAAAAGATAGAAAAATGAACAAAGTGAAAAGCATCACGAGCATTAGCTCTAGATGGTACATTCACACGAATGCAAGAATAGGCTTCAACTCAGCGTGGTGGCAGTACACCTTGTTGCTAGGGACAAAGCGTGAAAAGGAACAGAAGAAGAACGAGGGAGGTAAAGAAGAAGATATAGAGAAAATGCACAAGGAACGATAGCGAAGGCTTTTCTGTTTCCTGACAAATGGTGGGCAACGACAACTGCACAATGTTCAAGCTTCAGCTGCTAGAGACTTTTTGCGATGGAAAAGACTGCGAGTTCGGGACTTGCTGCGGGTGTTCTTCTCAGGCGTTCCGCCCTGTCGACCTCGGCCACGCGAACGAGGGGCGCATTCGTCATCCGACTTGTACTTGTCCTTGTAAATCCTATAAGTGCGCATTAGTATCATCGACCAATCTATCTAGTGTCCGATCCCGGCTTACCAGCTGTTCCCAACCATGCTGATCCCCTTCGCTTCCGCCTGGCGATAGAACTTGGCCGCTTTCTTCATGTCCTTCTTGCAGCCGATACCTTCAGCGTAGCAAAATCCAGCCTCTGCCAGCGCGTCCGCATCACCCCACTGACCTGCAATCTCGAAGCAGCGCAAAGCTAGAGATTTGTCCTGCTCGATACCCCATCCGTTCAGATGGCTCACGCCAAGCTCGTAGATACTGAGGGCAAACTGCGCACGATAGGCTTTTTGCATCTCCTTTGCTCGCTGAGGTACAGTGCCATTCGAATCGTCCATCAGCTCCAGTCCCACGCAATCGACGGCTTTACGGAGCCACTGCACGCCTTCTCGTTGGTTTGGTCGCATACCCCAGCCATGGCGGCATGCCAGGGCATAGAGAAGCATCCCAGTGGGATGATTTTGCTTGGCAGCAATCCGCAGATGATATGTAGATTCTTTTAGAGATCCTTTCTCGTGGCATTCAATCCCCTTGGCCACATGTTCATCTGCGGTGATCATACCAGATGATGAAGCTGCCCTGCCCGTCTGCGGTCGAATCGTGGAGGCGGAGTCCACAGAAGAAGTCGTATCCTCCTTATCTTCTTTGTTCGAGCTTGTCAATTCTGGTGGAGGTGCCACTGCCTTCTGTTTCTCAACAGATGGAGGCTCTACCTGGTCAACTTCGGGTTCAGACGTGGCCTCAGCCTCCTGAGAGCGCAGGCCGGGTCCGTTCGCCGAAGGCGTCGGTCCGGCTATTGTTGGAGTATCGTACATCGACTGCGCCCTTTGTGAATACACGGACTGCGAGTATACTGACTCATGTCGTGAGAGCGGCGGAGATGGGGTCCGAGAGGGCCTCAGACGCGCTTCCGTACTGGCAGGAGGCGGGCTTTCGAATAGCGGCTCTTTCCACTCAAAGTTTGGAGTCTGCAGACCGGAGAACACAACAGAGTCTCTGGAGACCTTGCGACCCCGAGGAAGAGAATACTTCGTGTAGATATATGAAGACACTGCGGATGACGGCTCCTCATGCGAACGGTTGGCTAGGTCCGAATGCGTAGGCACAATAATAGGACTGGGCTTATGCTCGCGATGCATCGTGCCCGATTGGTTCGTTTGATCCATACCACCAATGCTGACTGGCGCAGAAAGGCTCGTGCTCGACCTACTCAAGGGACGCGAGAAGTTGAACGACGGTCGGGGAAGATAGCCTGTAGTATTTGACGTCTCCGAGCTCAAAGATGGGGACCGAGGATGTGAGCGGGGATTGGCCGACATTGGCGAGTACGGCAGCGACATGGCGCTACAGGACGACAGCTTGCGCGGTTTCGAAAACGTCGACCCTGCGTTCGAACTGCTATAATCGTCATCGGAACTTTCCGGCTGAGTGGCTCTGGAACTGGTAGATGGCCTTGACAGCGGAGAAGGAGGCGGTGCCAGGCCCCGTGGGACATTGAGTCGAGAAGCAGAATCAGTCGATGAATTGCGAGATGGCGCAGCGATAGCAAGGCCAACAGAAGAGACAGGGCTGGCAGGGCTGGAGGGACCGGGAGCATAGAACCGTGGAGGCGCCTCCGGTGCACTGCCCATAGACATATCTTCGTCAGGAGATTCAGCACGCGGGGCTCCAAAGGTATCTGGTTCCATAGGAAGCGGCGTAGGTCCTTCAGTCGGTGTGGCCTCTTCGTCATCCTCTGCGAAGCCATCCTCGCTGGCAAGATACGAAACAGCACTAATGCGAGGGTGCTCGGACTGTGGACGAAACTTTGGCTCCTCAACCTCCGGATTGTTCTTCTGAGTAGGACGTCTTGCAAGTTCCCCGCCTCTTCCACCTTGAGAGTAGTAAGAATCGCCGGATGATGGGGCCCGAAAGTAGCCTGGTCGACCTTGTGACAAAGATCGTGCGACGCTGGAAGGGGGCAATCTGCTCATGCGCCTTTCTCCCCGTTTCGACTCTTCCAATTGCCGGGCCAGAAGCCGACCCTGAGCAGCGAACGCATCAAGAGGGGAGAGCGCAGGAGGAATCTCGCCGTCAAAATGTTCGATGCGCGGCGAGGGGCTCCGGAGGGCATCGTAAGATTGGGAGCGGGTTTCACCAAACTGCGGCCGGGAGGTCATGGTTGCGGGACAAGGGCTTCAAGGCGTTGGAACTCGAGATAAGCAGTTATTCTTCTGTACAACGGAATATGTTCCATTCAGTTCATCTATCCGGAGTCGCTGTAATCGTTCGTGAATGCAACTTTTCGCATTGGTCTCTGTCAAAATCGAAGAAGGTTAGATGAGGCGCGCATGAAACTGTGAAAAGTGCCCTAAGAGTAAGAAGAAAGGAAGAGATGCGAGAGGATATAACAAAAGGAGGGAGGAGGAAGAATTACAGAAGATAAAAATGAATGGCGATCCTGTGAGTATGAAGAGTGTAGTGAAAGAAGCGCAGCAGACCAGGCTTAGTTGGATAGTGATATTAGTTCCTGTGAAGGTTCAATGAATGACGGGGTAGTTGGAAAATTGAAGGAAGATAAAGTCAAGAAAATAAACAGAAACAATGAAAGAGATCAAAGAGTTGAAAAGTGCCACAAATCAAGTAGAGCAGCGATGATCAAGCATCGCGACTCCGAGAAAGCGACTGGGATATCTAGCCAGATGTTGATGGCGGATGTCGAGGAGGGAGAGGGAATAGGCTTCCTAGGTACAGCGTAGACTTAGGGAACATAACAAGCTAGACTAGATGATACCTCGATGGGTCCCAAACACAACCCATGGGATTTTTCGACCATTCAACTCGACGCCCTGACGATCATTAGACGAAACGAGGGGCGGAACAGCAGAGTGGACTTAAAAGGGAAAAACTGACAGTCAGTCTGGGCATTCTCCACGCGGAGCGATGCTTGTATTCAACGCGTTTCCAGACTGTATGCCGTTCTGTACGTAATTAGATTTCAAAGTGTCTTGGCTCAATACCCACACTGAACGTACCATTCGGAATGCCAAGCCAGAAAACGTCTCAACAGAAAACACATACACTTACATTATTTACATGACAAGCATGGAATAACCATCATGTTCCTACTGCTGGAGTCAGGGGCTGCATTACATGCGGTGCATTTATTATAATCGTCACAAGTGCATCAATCAATTCATTGAATTCCAAGAGAGACTATGTCTTTGAAGTCAGTTGGTGCGCGAACAAAATATATTTTCTGAATTGAGATGGTGATCTAGACTACCAAGCTTCCAGAAAAACAGTCCAATTCTTCCCAACATACGACGATCATCCATATTAATGTCTCTTGAAGCTTCCCATCGGCAAATCATACCATAGGGTCGATGTTCAGGCCTTGGTCTTACCAAGGATAGACGGTCTCGCAGTCTGGTTCGTCCTGACTTGAGACCCGAAAGTGGGGAAGTCGCCTCTATATATAACTCCTTTGAATCATCGCCCGAGCCCCTGTGCCATGAGTAAATACGACAGAGACCAACAATTCTTCGCTTAAAAAACACAGAATTTAGGATCTTGAATCATAGGCGCCTTGATTTCATAAGACTCTATATCCGCCAGATTGAAAAGTATGTGGTTATGGTTATTGTTGTGCTCTGAAGCTATTCAAATGAGGTACTCCATTATTCTGTTGCCTTTTATTACCATCTGAGACATTTATCAAAGTGCTGCGTTGCAATAATGACTAATGATCTCTTATTGGCCATTTGCCGTTTGATTCCTGACTTGCTCTTGACAGATGTCGTCGACTGGAATTCTCCCGTTGAGTATGTACATAGTAGTGATCACTAGTTATAAACTTCAGTCAACTCCTGCCTTGATCTTCTAGTCTTTAAGATTTCACTAATAGTGCAGTGGAAACACCAGAATATAATCCTTCGAGATGGTGTAAGTCAGCATACTGTTATAGGCCATATTTTGGACTATCATATCAATGTGCTGCTGGCATAATCTCATGGTATTCTGACAGGAGCTGACCCGGAGCATCAAGGACACGAACTAATAAAAGGCATGTGAGGTCGCGGCTCCTGAAAAATGCATATCAACCGCCCGAGTCATTTTGAAGAGATTCAACCAATATCCTTGTTTGGATTATTCGAGACTATCACTACCAGAGCAGGGTCTGGTGCAAGCCACTCCATATTATATGTATACTTGGTTACTTCATACAGAGGCAGGTGAGGCTAACAATCAATATACTCCAGCACTGCCACTGGGGCGCTTATTTACCTCTGTATGCGATTCGCCTCCATTGTTTTGCTTCTCTCTGAGTAAGGCGCCAACTCCCCGAGGAGAACAGAGAGGGAGGGTGTATATCTTGATGAGAGCCGCCTCATCAAGCACGCAATCAAGCTTCCATGGAGAATGGTGGCCACCTGGGAGGACAACATTTCCACTTACCCAATACCTAGAGAACAGGCTTGATGTTACCTAAGACTGCGTTGAGGCCCATTCTTCAGGCTCAAATCTGAGGTCCCATGGCTTCTAGACACCAAAAGTCAATCTGCATCTCCACGGTTTAACATGATGGCTACGATTACTCCATAATATTACTGAGTAGTCTATTACCATTCATCTTCAGGCCGTCCAGGCACTCTAGGGCAGGGAGCAAGAGTCTCGTATATCTCGATTCGATCAGCATCTTTTTAATTTTCATTGGAGAAAAGCTTTTATTTTACGCGTCTTCGCGAAAATGGTGCCCGGGTCCTATACACTCAGACGGGTTTTCAAACCCTCAGGAGGATTCAGCTAAGTCACAATAGGGAAGGTTCGGGCTAACCTTACACGATCCCGATTACCTTGCCAAAGCTGTTCTTTAGATCCAATGCAGACTTAGCAAACCAAACTGATAGTCTGCCACTCACGCACTCTCGCAGTGATATGCCCCGCATCTACCTTCATCAAACTGCGTTGACAGAGTCGAAGGAAAGGCAGACAAGCAGCCATATTATACACACCATTATACACACCAGGTAAATATACGTTAATAAGCATTGCCTACATTTGGCGAGAAATTGAGTCCCCTTTCCAGTCAAGTTTCTGCGTTTACTGGCCTACAACTCTGTGAAGCCAAGGTTACCCTTAGCCTTCGCAGGCTTTGTTTCTCCTGCAACCATGGAAACCTCCATCGATATTCGAGACGGGTTCGGTGGTCAAGGTGTGTGGATTCTCGTATAGTTGCAATAATATCAGAAGCTCACCATCACCCGAAGCATCCGAGCTTTTGGGAGTGGATCCATCTGATTGAGAGTAAGCAAGCTCTTATCTTTTCCTCGAGGGCTATCAACGTAATCTATCCTTGGAAGATCTTGCTTCGCTGAAGAAAACACCTTGCCGTGTACGGAGTGAGGAGACCGAGCCAATATACGGGGAGCCACGTTCGTGGAGGGTCATTGTGTCCCAAATGCTTTTGGAAAGAGTTGACAAGGCCATTCACGTCTATGAGGACAAAGAAGGCAGATTCCGCAGAAGCCTCAAAGAGATACTTCAGCATGTATTCCTACAAAGTTGCCAGGAAAGCGCGCCTTTGTGAAATACAACAGCGATGCCACAATCGCCCCATGCTCATGAAACAACTGTAGAGCTCCATTCGCACCATGTATCTGGGCCCCTGTAATCACTTAGATAGAGCAGCTCATCTTCATCTCTTCCTCAGCGGTGACTGCTTATTCTGTCTTCCGACACGTTAACTTGGAATTGGTCGTCTGTCCGTCCCACAGCGATTCAAGACCAGTTCGCTCCACATTACTTTGAATGTCACCCTATTACGAAGGAGAATCGCACTATCACAGCCAATAATATTAATGTGCCTCACTAGTCTCTAAGTGAACTGTTTTTCTGCAAGTCCTGTCTGATTGCCTGATATGGGTGGTGCTGCTGCTGCTGCTTTTTTGAGGGACTCACATGAGTTGCTTAGTGAATACTTTGGATCACTCACTAATCACTTATTAAGGCTCAGGATGCGTCGCAAAAGCCGTTGACTTCCCGACGAGCTAATACCCGCCAAAATTCTCGCATGCCATTAGTGTGATATCTTAGGAGCTCTCGCTCCGTGTGTATCGTCTTGGGATGGGGCCGGTGTGTTCATGCAAGGCTGCGAGCCTCAGTGCGGGCTCCTGCTAAGTGGCTGCGGGACTTAGTTTTTTAGTGGCATTTATCAAGACAGTGGATTCGTGCCAACTTGCTGACTGATGCAAGTACTACTCCATAGATAAATATGGTGTCCATCTTATCTGGAACCCCTGTTATTATTAGCTGTGAGTTGTCAGTCACAAAACCTTGTATAGGTACTGTGTGGTGTGGCTTGACATCGTTGTGGGTTGGCAAAATTCAGTGCAGAGAATCCATGTCCCATGTTACATCGTCCGTACATGGTGCCTAGTTTATCCGAGGAAGTAAGTGACTTCTGTCCCTCTCTCATATTGACCTTACCTGCGATGTGCCACTCTCTACATTTTTTCAATGACCACTCCTCTCCGGCGCCGAAACGGTCGCAAGGCAGCCTGTGAGGCCTGTCGAAGGCGGAAATTAGCATGTGACCACAGTTACCCTACGTGCCAGCGATGTGAAAAGCTCTCAATGAAATGCGTCTATTTTGAGCGTTCCTTGGCAGACACAAGAGTAAATAGGATCACCGAAGACGTAGGACCGCCGCCCAGCCCGTCCAGGGAGCCAGTCCATGCGCCATATGCATTGGAGAATTGGCGGGTTCCACAGCAGACCACACCCATGATCGACAGCCCCACGGAGTATCTGGGTCCGACAAGCTTTACGTCAGTTTTTATGGAGCATGGTGATCGGTTTGAGTTGAAGCATGCAGTTAGAGGATCAGGGAGTCAGGCAGACCGTGTCACTGATCCTGATCTGAGCTCGCCTCCACAACCGAAGTCCGCTGCGGACAGGCAGCGGCTGCAGCTCGGTGCCGAAGTTCTACAACAGATACCCGGAGAACAGGATTGTTCCAGTCTCTTTTCGAGGCATGTCAACCCAAATGATGGCTGGATTCGACTAGCCGCCCATCACTCGTCAGAGAGGATGTGGAATGCATTCCGCCCGGCCCTAACACGACGGTCGACAGACGACTTGCTGACTCTGGCTGCCCGTATTTCAGCAAATAGCAAGGCAACATTGAAGGGGGAGCAAGATCCTCAAGCGTGGCTGGCGTCATTTACCGGGAGGCAGATGCGGTGGGAAACCTTCGGCATCTTGTACACCTATTGGGCGTTCGGAGCGATATCCTCATCCCCGGAGAGCGAGGCCGTCTCCCGGTACTCTCAGGAGCATCCATCAGTCATGGGACCGAAGCAGTTGATGGCCCACCTAAAGCATTATGCGTCCTTGTGCATTGATTTGTGCCGGCGGCTTAGCTCAGTCAACGTCCTGTTTGTGTATCTGCTCTACAAGCACAATATCTTAGAAGGTATTCTGAACGGTGACAAAAGTATGTAGCTCGATGGTACGCTGGAATAAATGGCAAGATACTAACTAAACAGGTCTCTCATGTTGGATGCAGCATGGTGAGCTCGTTGCGGTTACCACGTCCATAGGATTACATCGAGAGCTGACAGCTGCATCAAAACAGCCGACACTGCAGCACGAGATGAAAAGGAGGGTTTTCGCTGCAGTCTTTAACATTGACAAGGTCATATCAACTTTCACCGGCAGACCGCCAATGCTGAGTCTAGCATGTTCATCGACATGTCTCCCACTGGACCTGAGCGATGAGGCGCTGTTGTCAGGCGATCTTCAGGCTGCAGCCGCTGAGCTGGACTCACATGGATGGAACAAATACGGCCAAATTTACTCCACGACGATCCTGCGATCCCGTACAATGTTCGCACAAATTCGACATGAGATACTGGAGTTTTTGCAAGCTTCGTTGGATGCCCCGCCAGAACAGTTGGTAGAACGAGCCATGTGCGTTTTCCTCGCTGAGCCCATATAATACTAAACGTCATACAGGAGATTGAAACAAAAGACACATGATACATACATGCAGCTACCAGAGTCGATCATATTCTCATCGACTAAGGTAGACAGTGCAGACATTCCAGGGTATGATGTCTATGCACAAATACTCACTAAACTTGAGTTTCTGCTGAATCTGTTCCTGCTGGAACGCCTCTTGACGCGTCATAAGACAAACACCACGCAGGACCTAGTCAATGTAAGCCAGCGCATGCTGGAACTGACCTTGATATTCTGGAAGAAAAAAGACCGTTTCGTTGGTCTCTACAGTGATTTTGAGTGGCTGGCATGTTCCCATCTGTTCCTCCGCTCGTTAAGTTACATGGGAACCTGCTGACCAAGGCAGGCAATGTCGTACGCTGTTCCCCCTAGTGGGGTCCTCTGCCTCGAACTGCTGCGACGAGAATATATCCTACACATCCCACGCTTGGACATTATCCAGAACCTCAGTTTGCTGGTTGCGTACCTCGACTGGATCCAGCCTTTGGCGTCTTGCGGGAATACGGTTTCGTTTATTCGGAGGATCCTTGGTCGGTGTCTGGATCAAATTCTCAATGTGCCCTCTTATCTGGAACCCCACCAACCTAGTCCTGATGCTCTCTTTAATCGACCATTCTCGGACGAGAGTGCTGTTACTGATTATCCACACCTTGAACTTTTAAACACTTTTGACTGGATTGACTGGGATGGAGTCTAGCCGAGGCTGCGTGATGAATCTTTGAGACTATGTGGTACGGCAAAATGGAGCTTGACGGCGCTGAGCTTTATTTTTTGCTGAGGTTTTTGCTTTTCTCATGATTCTCGGTGTTTCTATTATAACTGCGCATATACCGAGTGTTAGTCTGAATAGGGGAGAAAAATAATCTCTAGATCCAGGCGGAAAAGGTCCTGTTTCTTTCGCACCAGACATAATAAGTTGAAACGACGGTAGAACTGAGCACGCCAACGCGTCGATTTAACCCATGGACATGCAACAAAACCAGAGGGCTTCTCTGGCCGCAGGGACGAGTCGGTCCCTAATTCGTTCTTTCCTTAAGAAGACTTGCGCAAAAGAGGAGAACACCCGTCGTACCGATGGTGAGCCCCGAGTATAGCTGAACCCCCAGATACGATCGCGTATCGTCCAGGATGGCGCCTGCAACCGGCGCACCGCACAGAGATCCAAAACCACACAACAGAGAGCACATTCCCATTCGAGTTCCAAGTGTCTGGAGATTTGGTGTCAAGGCCGTCAATGCAACCGCTGGGAGTGAGACGAAAGCGCCGGAGAAAAAGCCGTACAAGACGGCCAACGCTATTAGGCCGCCCGCGTTAGAGATGGCTATCCAGCAGAGTGAAAGGATGCCGCTGATGATTGCACTTCCTAGAAGAATATTTAACGGACCAAAACGCAAGCCAAGAAGGCCAGGAACAATCCGACCCGGAACTGAGGCGGCATTTAGGATCGAGACAAGGTAGAATGCAAGCGCCTCTCCCATGGCATGCTTTTGGATAGCATACGCTTCAATGTAGAAGATCGGATTGAAGAAGCCAGCATAGCCAAAGAACATCGCCATACAGAACAGCGTATACGGGACCTCCTTGAACGCAGAGAATTCGGTTAAAACGCGCCTTTGCTTTGGAACTTGGCCAACGCGCATAACGCTGAGTGAGAATGATGTCGTTGCAAGAACCAGGAAACCCAGCACGCGAGTGGCCCACCCAAACCCGATATGAGGCTGCAGTTGCCGAAAGACAATCGGGTACAATACTCCTCCAAGGCTACTTCCGGACGCGGCAACGGCCGTGGCAATCGCTCTGCGAGATGAGAAGTACTGTGGAATAATGGCCACAGAGGGAATATACAAGCATCCATTACCAATGCCAACGCAGAAGGCTTGGGCAAGAAGCACCTGCCAGTAGTCTGTGCACACACTTAAAGCCATGAAGCCAACCACAACCAGGATAGACCCTGTGGCCACTAAGCCGTAAAAGTATCCGGAATCATAGAGAGGGCCAGTGATTACACCGACCACGAGCAAGAGAAATGCCTGTATGGCGCCAATCCAGGAGATATTCGAGCTGGATTGGTCCTTGACCAGTCCGATTTCATAGTAAGTTTGGAAGACACCAAATGTGTTCACCGTTCCCCTAGTTTATGAAAGTCCTCTGTTAGTGATGTAAACCTCGATGGTGAATCTCAGGACAGATACCATGAATTAAAAAATAGGAAAAAAGACCCTGCCACCTGTAGCCAGGCCTGCAGACCCCCATTCACTGGTGCACTATACGCAATTTCTTCTGTGGCATCAGACCTAGCCTCCTGCTTTTCAGGAGAAGTGTCGTTTTGCTGGTGCGTCATTTTGATTTTTCAGTCAGAAGGCAGAACGTCCGACTGCGATTAGTATAACAGTAAGGAGTAACACCTTAGAAGTGCATGAAATGGTATCTTGAGTACTATTCCCACTTCTTAAGATAAAGAAACCGTCAGGTGCGGCTTCGGCTCTCGGCTTCGGATTGAACTTGGTATTCACCAGGGTGTGCTGGTGTCAATGTCTAGGACTACTGGTTTCTATTAATCTTCTTATTTTGCATTTGAGTGTATCTGCCAAAAGCACAACCCATTTGATGACTCTGCAGACAAGAAGGCTTTTTTCCTTCTCCTTTTCTCCCGACAAGACTCCAGCAAGGGGCCTACGTTTGTACAAAGACAACTGTATATATTCTTCTACTCCTCACTCTTCCTGCACGCAAGATGATATTACGATTCTGCTTGAGACGGACATGGCATTATGCAATTACTGCCGACTTACATCTACAAGAACTAGATAATGTCATTATCGATATCATAGGATCTACAGATTAGGGCATTACCATATACTCAAGTGATAAAAACGGTGATACATTTATTGAGACACTACAGATTGCATATACCCCGTCATGCATGCACTAGGGCTGTGTGTCTCTCGAATGCTGTCAATTTCGGTGCGCCGAGTTATGAGAACCTTATCACTCGGGCATTTAGAGCACTGGTTCCATGCGCAAGTTTCATAAGTATCTGCAAGGATACCGTCACACCAGGCATACCACCTCTGCCACGTCCAGCTGTTGAGCCATCCGCTGCCGCCGCGTACCTTGTTGCCCAGCACGCCTTTGCTGCGCAAGTTAGTGAGTCGGGAACTTTGATCTCGCTCGAGTAACCCACAATATCACTTCAAACGGCAAAAGCTTCATGCCGGGACTCTGGCCTGGTGGGATTCCCTCCCACATACGACCACACCATACGGCGGACCTAAGCTTTGACGAGATCAAGGAAGAGGTCAAAGGGTGGCTGCTCTTTGTGAAGGTAGGATCAAATTGCCTTGTCTAGATTGGATATTAACAGCAGCTCAGGAGAGCTGGGTTTCTCGCGCCCATGCTGGGGTAGCCGAAAGTGAGGATGAGGATTATGAACTTCGCCAGCGACGAGCATTGGTCGACCGATGGATAGCTCTCATCCTGGTTCGAATGGACTGGCTAGCTCTGTGAGCAAAAAGCAGCAGCGCTTCGGACCGAATCCAGAAATAGGAAGTCAAAACAGTGGGACCTCATACAGTCGGATCACAGCCGAGGCTGCGTATTGGAGTCTTGTCTCTACACTAAAATAGTCAAAGTTCCGGTCTCCATCAGCCTTCGGTTAGGTTCAATCCACGTATCCACAGCGCAGACTACGTACAGTACTTTCGTAGACGGGCTGTTCCCAAGGCACCCGACAAAAACATTGGACTGGCGACAGCACGCACTTGAAACGACGAACAAATTTTAGCTCAGCCTTTGAAGTTGAACCTCCCTAGCGGAAATTTTCTTGAATAAACCCAGTATGACCGTTAGATAAACTCTTATTCCACTCCTTTCCCACCTTCCCCCCCGCAATATCCCATCCTCATGCGCGCACGACCACCGCCGCCGCCGTCGCCAATATGAAGCTATCCAAACCCTCCTTCGGCGTCGACCCCTCCCTCGACTCCCGCCACTGCTACGAAACCTCCTGGCTCCTCCCCCCTCTCCCCTTCGCTCTCCTCCGCGCCCTAATCGCCCTCTACATCTTCGTCACAATCTTTTTCATCTGGGGCTGGGACGGCACCCACGGCGACTCCGACGCCATTGGCCACAGCTTCAGCTACTTCACCTGGCTCACGTACTGGGGTCTGGGCTTCTATTATCTCGTCGCCGCGATCCATACCGCATGCTACGCACGCACGGGGCGCTCCGTGCTCTTCGACAGACTGCCTCGTGCGCTGCGCGCCCTGCATGCGATTTTCTACGCGACCATCACTACCTTCCCGTTTCTCGTGACGATCGTATTCTGGGCGATTCTCTTTGAGCCGCCGTGGTATACGCGGACTTTTGAGGCTTGGTCGAATGTATGCTGTCCATGTTTGAGAGAAAAAAAAAAAAAAGTTCGCAAAGTGAGTGTCGAGTGTCGCTAACGCTATGAATGATGTAGATCTCGCAGCACGGCCTCAACTCCCTCTGGGCCCTGCTGGAAATCATCCTCCCCACCACGAACCCGCATTCGCTTCTGGCGTTTCCGGTCCTGGTGCTGATTCTCCTGCTGTATGTCGCGCTCGCGTACTTGACCTACCACACTGAGGGGTTCTACACCTACTCGTTCTTGGATCCTGGTCCGGACGGCGAGCATAGTGGTCGCGTGACGGCTTACTGCTTTGGGATCTTTGCAGCGATCCTGGTCATTTTCATTCTCTCGTGGGCTGCTATCTGGTTGAGGCGGAGGCTTACCCATGGAAAGATAAAGAGGTCGGTCTACGACAAGGAGGACGTTCCTGAGCTGCGGCATGTCGGAGTTTAGTCGGGGTATTATGCGGTGTGTATATAGGATAATACGTAATATTAATGAGCATGTATGTGTGCACGCTGCAATACAATAATAGTTGAGATGCAATTGAGTATTCTTTTCATGAGATGTCCGTTGCGTCCAGAATAGAGAGGAGATGGGATTTGACAGATCAAAGCATGTCAGCGGGGGTCAGTATCCAAATTATAACCAAAAATAGGCAGAAATATTATCGCGCCTCATTGACTTTTTCCCAGCCAGTCTCACTGCTGCTATTGCTGGCACTGTCCGACGCTGTAGGGTGGCCACCTCGGAGGCCCATCATCCATCCTACCAGGCCGGCGGGAACCCACTCGCCAATGATGCTATATGACCGCGCGCCTCGTCCAGCGTATATGACGCGTTTCTTAGGCACTTTTCTTCCAAAAATATCTTTCGATGCTGGCTCCAGCGCATCCAACACCGCATAGTGCAGCGTTCTGGCAGGTGAGCCTCGCACCGTACTGGGTCCTGCAGATGCCACGGGCCGCTGTTCGATGCTCGAAAGGTACTGCGGTCCATAGAGAGACCGTTGCTGTGCGCTCCATGCGAGGACCTCAGTCCCAGTGACATGACTCTGCGCATCACGGAACTGGGGGCCGAGGTCGATGTTGCCAAGCTTCAACTCCACAACATCAATGTTCTTATGCTGCAAGAGCCGCAGCTCCGTCCGTAGAGACGTCGCGAATCCCGACAAAGCGCGGGCAGTAGTGACTTCAGGACCGGCAAATGGAGCTGAAAGTGACGATGATATAGAGGGATAGAGGACGAGGATAGTGCTATTGGTGTTGCGAAGAGTAAGAAGAGGCAGGAAGATCTGAGTGGTTAGTATAGGAGAAAGGAGTCGAGTATTGATGGTATCGGCCCAGGCTGATGGTGGAATAGTGGCAACCGGGCCAGTTGTATAATTAGGAGACGGAACCAGGATAGTACCGCTTAGCTGGCAGGTATGGGGAGGTACGCCGGGCATCGGCCATTGCGGTTGTGTAATGAGGGAATGTATGTCACGCAGAGAGGGATGAATCTCAGAAGGCGAAGGGGTCTTTAACAAGGTCAGTAATAGTTCGTCGTCTGAAATGCGGAATAGAGGCTCACTGCTGTGAGGTCAAGCCAAAGGGCTCTGATATCCATTCGGTCTTCCGACCGAACCAGCTGCTCCTCTTGGGCTGATGTGACAGTAATAAACACAATATACCCTCGACGCTCCAAATCAGTGGCAATCGCTCTGGTCATAGGTTCATGAGGAGACCCGGCGACAACTGACCAAGTAGTTAGCCCTTATGGACAACCCGTACAGGTTTCCCATCTCGGTAACATACCAACTATCTCCTTTCGAGCACCGTTTCCAGCCCTCCTTGCCTTCCGCCGGCGTCCATGTAGCTTGCTACTCCCAAAATACAGGACGCTGGTTGTCCCAATAAATGCGATTAAAGCAGCGCTCCATGCTCGATTTCGGATCATCCAGTCATACGCGCGATCAGTGAAAGACTGCGACCGCGCCGCATGGAAGCCTGGATATGTCTTGGGTGAAGGTCGGATCGCAGGAGGGAGCCATGATTGATGTGAGAGTGTATCACGAATCACTGTCGCGATGTGATCGACTTGCCGATCGATAGAATCTGCGACCTCGAGCGAGTATCTTCTTACGTCATGCGGAATCGACGCAAGCTGGACGTTGAAGCATCTTGTAAGCCTTTTGACTGGCAGTAATTTAGACCGAGTAACTCACATAATCGAAGAAGAACTGGTCATCGCTTGTCATCTTGATCGGAAGTTGAAATCAGAAGCGAAATGCTTGATGCCACAGAGGTTGATAAAGGCGAAAAAGTTCCACTGATAAGTGCAGCAATGTATATCAACCAGTCACATGAGCACGATATACTCCACAGCGCAGGATAAGGATAAGGCTGTCAACTGTAGCTTTGAGTCTCAGAAATACTTAATATAGAAGCTGCTATTTGTACCGGAGAATATCTAGATGATTTGGATATTTTCATGTTATTAAGTGGAACTCACTGTGAAATGTTGCAGACTACAGTATACTGATCCCCACCTACGTTCTTTAATCTCATACTCTTGACTTCATGTAAACTAGTCCATATCTGTACTAGCCTCCTCTGTGGTACATCAAAGCCGCTGCTTTATGCATCGAAATTGCCACAACTTCTCAACCCTTGGTTGGTCATCTATTTCTTCAGGAGCGTCTTACAGACCTCACTTGGTTCTGTGATGCCTAACAGCCACTTCTTGGCCTCAGGGAAGGGTGTGAACCTTGCACGTGATTATGGTCGAAGGCAGCATTGATTCTAATCTCTTCTGCTGATTATCAATCCAAAGAATGAAGTAGCAAGGCCCTTCGACGTTATCACACTTTCCCCAAGTCTACTGGAATACATAGAATGTGGCGAAAATCTGTTTTCTTTGATATCTCTTTGGGACTGGGGAACTCACGCTGCCATTTTGGACAGGCTTGTACGCCCGCGCCTGAG